ATGGACCTTTTGTGTTGTATGTGAATGCATTGCAGCTCTCTTGGGGTCAGTGGAAACAATGAGTTTTGATTTAAAATGGTAAAGATGATTTCAGTTAATGTCCAAGGCCTTAATTCTTTAACTAAAAAATCTTTAATCTATGATTATATATGTTAAGAAATAAAGTGGAAGTGGGCTTTTTTCAAGAGACACACTGGTTGGATATGGATAGTCAAGGCTGGGGTGGTTCAAAATTCCCTATAATGATTGTTGGAGATGTAACGAAAAAGAGGGGACCTTTGGACACATATGGTGGGAGTGCAGTAAGGTGAAAATCCTGTGGTATATGGCTTTCGATTCATTGGAGAATATCACAGAATTAAAAATCCCTAGGGGTCATCATAATGGTCTATTTCACTTCTTTAAGTGGAGAAAAAAAAAAAAGAGGAGTAGCAATAGTATTTTCCCACACATTAAAAGTGGATATAATTCACCAAATTAAAGATAATGAAGGTAGATATGTTATAGTTTGTTGTAAATTGAATGAGATACCTTATACATTGACCAATATATATCTGCCCAATGACTTTCCTGCTCCAACCTTAAAAAAGGTCTTAACTTTAATGGAATCTGTCAAAATAGGTACATGTTTGGTGGTTGGGGACTTTAATAGTGTATTGGATCCGATATTAGATAAGAAGACATCTTCAATATTATTACATCAAAAAAGAACAGATAAATTGGCAAAATCTATTAAGAGAAATAGGATTAATTTTGATTATTTTGATCTTTGGAGAACGACCAATCCTAATTCACTGGAATATACTTTTTTTCACGGGTACATTTTTCGTATTCCCAAATAGATATGGTTTGGGGAAATATGACAGCATTGACGAATATTAAATATTTTAAGATACTTGATCATACTTGGTCAGACCATAGTATTAATATGTGGGAGATGAAGAATCAGTGGATCAGGATTGGTTGTGATACCTGGCGTATGGATGATAATTTGTTAAAATCTAAGATCAATCTTGATATATTGGAAAAACAAATAGTAACCTATTTTCTTGAAAACGATCCAAATGATACCTCATATACAAATAACTGGTGTGCATTCAAATCTACCATGAGAGGCAATATAATAAGTATTCAAACAAGATATAAAGTAGAAAATAGTAGATCTTTTATGGTATTACAAACAGAACTGAAAAAGGCTGCAAGTAAGAACAAGCAGTTTCCCTCTAAAGAAAATGCAGACGAGCTAAAAAGTATCCAGAATAGAATTATAGCAAAGAATGTAAAAATTAGGAATAAACTCAAAGCTAATTACTACTATAAGGGAAATCGAGTAGATAGAATTATGACCAAAAAATTAAGAGATAAAATTGGATCCAATAAAATAGTAAAGATAGAGGATGAAGACGGGGTATATCTGGACCCAAAAAAAATAAGGGAGAGATTTAATAAGTATTATGAGGCTTTGTATAATTTAACTCCCTCGATAACCAACGAGGAGGACTATCTGAGTAAAATTAATACTCCTAAGATTACAATAGAACAAACTAATAAGTTAAATACTTTAATTACAGCTCAGGAAGTAGAGGTAGTAATAAACAAATTAAAACCAGATAAGACGCCAGGTCCAGATGGTTTTGCAAATATATTTTATAAATCATTTAAAAAAACTTATTGTTCCCCACCTAACAGACATGTTTAACGAAATTGTATCAGTTGGTAAATTCCCTACAGAAATGTTGAGTGCAAATATTCTTCCAATTCTTAAAGATAATAAAGATCCTCTAAAGGTAGAAAATTATAGACCTATCTCCTTAATCAATACAGATGTTAAAAATTTTTCTTCAGTTTTGGCCCATAGATTAAGAGGATTAATGGATAATATAATTAAAAATGACCAAATCGGTTTTGTACAAGGTAGAGATCCAGTAGATAACTCTAGAAGATTATTGGATCTGATAGATGTATCTAGAAGAAGTAACAAACCTTTATTCGTATTGGCGGTCGATGCCGAGAAAGCTTTCGACAGGGTCGGTTGGGATTTTTTAAGGAAAAAGCTGGAAAAATTCGGAATTCAGGGAAGGATGCTAAATGCTATTCTGGCATTATATGAAGGTCCTAAAGCAAGAACAGTGGCCCCAAACATATGCGCAGAGTGGTTTACACTTAAAAATGGTACGAGACAGGGTTGTCCTTTGTCGCCGATTTTATATATAATGACAATGGAGATCTTAGCCATTAAAATAAGAGATAACCCTCAAATTAAAGGATTCAAACTTAGAGAAAAATAATTTAAATTAAATCTATATGCAGATGATCTGATATTGACCCTAACCGACCCTGTCGAATCGCTTAAAGCACTGATGGCAGAAATAGACAAATATAGTCTGATCTCAAATTATAAAATAAATGTAATTAAATCCACTTTTTTAGCAATAAATATTTCCAGAGATTCTATTCAACAGATTAAAGATAAATATAAATTTAATTGTAATAAAAATTTGTTAACGTATTTGGGTATAATTCTCACTGATGATGTAAAAGATACGCTCCAAGTAAATTTTCTGAAAACATTTAGATCGACACATGAGTCTTTAAAGAGATGGAGACAAACTGAACTGTCTTGGTGGGGCAGAATTAATTTGGTTAATTCGTATTTACTACCTAAATGGTCTTATTTATTCCGTATGATCCCCTTGAGAATGCCACAACCATGGTTATCTATGATACAACGAGATATAAATAATTTTATATGGAAAGGAAAAAGGCTGAGGATGAATAAACAACTTTTGATGCAGAAGACTAGGAAAGGAGGGATACATTTTCCAAATGTTACTATAACTTATCTAGCAAATATGATGTTCCATATATATAAGACACAATTATTAAGTGCAGAGGAAGTTGGTTGGTACCAACTAGAATTGGAGATGACAGAAATGGAAAATTTACATAATTTGATTTGGTTAACTAAACAAGATGAAAGAACCAAAAAGGTCTGTCCCTCCAATACATGTTTGAAATCTATATTAATGGAGTGGGAAAAGTTGAGGATTAATAGTGGTTTATGTAATAAAATATTGGGAAATTTTAACCTTAGTATTATCCAACTAAGGATGAAGGATCTAAATTTAGGGGAATGGACAAGGAAAGGTATTGACTCTATAAATCAAATAATAATGGGTGACAAAATTAAATCATTTGAAAATCTGATACAAGAATTCTCATTACCCTGGAAGGAGTGGTATAATTATTTAAGAATTGGAAGTTTTATCAAACAATATTTGCTATACCGACCTACAGTGGGCATAGAAAACCTGATAGTTTTATTAAAAAATGAGATCGTACCGCAAATAGTCTCAAAGGCAAGGACTGCTCTCCTCCAAATTGAAGCTCCAAATTTAAATGTAAATATCCAAAAATGGAGTAAAGAGTTAAATGTACAGATTCTTAAGTCTGAATGGGATCAAGTACTATATCAAACAAGTAAGATAATCCATTGTCTGAACCTTCTTGAAATATTATTTAAATTAATGAACCGCTGGTATCTAGTCCCTACCAGACTAGCCAAAATGTATATCTCCAATTCTCCAATTTGTTGGAGATGTAACGAAAAAGAGGGGACCTTTGGACACATATGGTGAGAGTGCAGTAAGGTGAAAATCCTGTGGTATATGGCTTTCGATTCATTGGAGAATATCACATAATTAAAAATCCCTAGGGGTCATCATAATGGTCTATTTCACTTAAATTTGCAATCACTCCTTTTCAAGGATAAATTTATATACATCCATTTTGTAGCAGCAACAAAAATAATCATTGCAAGGAATTGGAAGAGTAGTGCAAATTTTACACAAGCCCAATTATATTCTCAAGTCCAATATCAATTAAATATGGAGGCCCTCGGACATCAGTCAATTAAAATTAATTTTTGGAAAGAAAAAGTGGAGAGTATGGCCAGATAAAATTCTGGATAAAATTAAAGTAATTAGATCAGTTTCTCCCTTTTTCCTACATCTTTATCTGTTTAGTATATTAAGGTAGTGAAATAGAGGTGCCACTGAAATACCCCAAGAAGAGTTTGCAATGCATAAAAATAAATGTTTGTCTTTTATGTTTGTTATGTATATCATATTAATGAAGTTTGGAATGCCATCTACCTAATTTAAGTAATAATTAATCGTGAATTAAGTTGCCTTATACGATAGATAAAAGGAACTTTAATATTAGAGGGATGCTGGATAAAATTTTTTTAGACATGTAGATTGATTTTTCTTCTTTCTTCTTTCCCAATATGGCATTTGGTCTAGATCTAGAAAAAAATTTAGTAGAATAATGAAAAGGGGAAAAAGCTCTAATATCACAAAGGCTATTATGTGTGCAATAGTATTGAGTATACATATAATTTTACAATTTTTATCTAATTGGTGGTAGATGGCAATACTTTTTATGTTTTCTAGATCATTAAGGTTGATGGTAATGTCTTGTATGGTTATATAAGAAAAATGAAATAAACAAATTATATTAAAAAAAAATAATATCTAAGGTAAGACAAGAGTCAATATGATTGATTTGAATGCCTTATTATTCAATCACCGTAACTATATGTCCCTAGTAGACAGGTGCAATTTGTTTCGGTCCGAATGTGAATTCGGACGAATTTCGGGCAATTCGGACAGTTGGGTACTTTCAAATGTACGAATAGATGAATTGCCGAATGGTCGAAGTCCCGAAATTACTGAATTTCCGAAGTGTTGAAGTTCCGAAGCACAGTACTGCCCAAGAACGAAGAATGAAGAATGTTACACTGTATACAATTTTGCCGCGCGAGGGCTCTTCTAACCTATTGCCTCCCCACGGCCCCCACCCCTAAGCGGTGGGTGGGTGCCCTAAATTAGAATAAGGGGGGGACCTAATGTCCTCCCTCCTGGCCCCAACCCCTGAGCGGTGGGTGGGGGCCCTAAATTAGAATAAGGGGGGACCTAATGTCCCCCCTGAGTGGTGGGTGGGGGCCCTAAATTAGAATGAGGGGGGGAACCTAATGTCCTCCCCCCTGGCCCCCACCCCATAGCGGTAATTTGACTCATAAAAAAAAAAAAAAAGTTAAGAGTCAAATTACCGCTCAGGGGTGAGGGCCAGGAGGGAGGACATTAGGTCCACCCTTCAGGTTAGAAGCCCCCACTCGCGCGGCACGGGTGGGGGAACTTTTTTGAGCAGCCATAGGCCGAACCGAAAATTTTCTCCTTGCACATGCCTAGTCGCTAGGTAATCTGAGTAATCTATACTGTAACTAAATTCTCGTAGTAATTTCTTAAAAACCCAATATAGAACTTTGGGTATAGAATGTATGCCTTTCAAATATATACATATCTTCCCATAGTCACTATAGAAAGATTTGTTACAATACTGATGTATGTATGGCACTCAATGCATTTGCACCATCAAGGAATGAAATATATACATATGTATACATATAGGTCTACATAACAATATGGGAAAACAACTTATAAGGTCTATGGTCTTAAAAGGAAATGCACATGGTGTACACTAAAATATACATACTTTTAAAAAGGCTAATTTCAATAAGCTGTACAACTAATTTACTAGCAAACGAGTTAAAAAAACAAAACAAACTCTGGATAAATGAATGAAGAGATCCAACAGGCTCTGGGGGCTACAGACTGATATTTTTAATCAATGCTGAACTAAAATAATTTTAGTATCATATTGAATTTTTGGACTCAAAATAAATGCTGGCTTTATGCTTCAAGCCCCTCCTGCCTGGACTAATCCACTGTAGCACTATAAAAATTCTTAATATCATCCATGAGGCTACGGTAACCAAATTTTTTTTTAATAAATTTAAAAAAAAAAACACAACACATTTCACAGAGTGGACTGCTCCTACTTATACAATGCCTTAGGAGTGTTGGGGGGAAATTTCAGTAGTGGGTAGAGGCCATTTTCATGGCTCTTTCAGCAAGTGTTGGTGTTAATGTCTGGCACTCACCCTCCTTTACAATTGGTAAAGGCATTACACAGGGGTGGGACGCTTGCTTTTTGTGCTAGTAATGGAACCCCTTCTCTAGGTTATATGGAATAATACAGGTATAGCTTGATTAAAACACCCGATAATGGCACCATATGCAAACTACATTTTATTCTTAATCACAGACCCAATACATTTTTTACCACGTGTCGTTGCAGAGCTAGAAATGTTTAATACTTTATCTTCAAAGTGCGCCTTGGCAAAAGAGATTTTGGGCCTGGAAGTTACCCAATTCTTGTAAAAGTCTTTGTTGCAGTCTTTTGGCTTCTGCTGGATGTGCTCCACAATTAAATATTCAGATATCCACGTCACTCAGACAATGTATGGGAGTTAAATAGTGCAAACTATCTTCCCCTTCTAGAAGTGAAGGATCTGCAGACCTCAGAGATGGAATATCCGACAATTGTCCCTATTTGTCTGCATTAATATATTAAAAAATGATGGACTTGCCGAATATTCTATACCTCTTTGAGACTCTCCCCATTTATCTGCCGCAATAATTCTTCTCTAAAGTGAAGAGGGCCTTCTCTTCCTTTATTTGGAGTCACATGCACCCTCTAATTGCTTTCCATATTCTAACCAGGGACAGAGCTAGGCAAGGCATGCCCCACATTTACCCTTTTTACATTGTTGCTAAGGAAGTGGAAGTGACTTCGCCAACAAATATCTTGGCATGAACTTGAGCAGAGCTTCACCAGGAACACCATCCAACCTCTTCCAAGGCAGACTTGTCCTGTCAGCACACCCTATAATATGGACAGTACTTTGGTTGTGCAGGAAATTTTGGTTTATCCCGCACCCTTTTCTGAAGCTCTTCCCTTTCTTCCCGATAAATAACAAGAGTTGCTGGCAGGGATGCGCTGCTCTCACAAGCCTCATCGCACCCTGAATTCCATCCTCATTGACAAACATATTCCTAAGACCTCGGATCTGATCGGATTCAGGAAGCCAACCTTGCTGGACTCACTCGGCTTCTCGCAACTCACCCACTTTCTCATGATGACAGTGCTGATCCACAGAGAAATTAGAAAGTTGACCCAATTAGAGGAAATCTGTTTTGTTCCAAAGGTGAGCAAACCTATCTCAAAAATGCTTTGATTCAAAAGGTCTCACCAGATGAGGTTTCCTGATCATTCAGAGTTCCTGGGCGGCAAAATACAAAAACTCACCCCCAAGTGATTGGACAAACATCTTTCAAAGTAAGTAAGCCTAAACAAGCGTGAGACTTTTTACAAGAGGGTTTGTTAGGTGGTTCAAAACTCCTGCTACGTTACACTAATTTATTTTCACAGAGGGCTCATTGGAACATATTTGGTGGTTTTGCCTGGAGATACAGCCCTTTTGGAGCAAGGTGATTGCTTTCAATCAGACCGCTCAAGCCATGTTGTCCACCTCGCAAATCCTTCTGGGGTGGTCTAACTCATTCAAAGAAGTCACACACACCCTGAATTGAACAATCAGATTTCAGATTTGTTAACTTTATTTACTTTTACCGGTTCCTTTAGTTTTTAGAGTGTTTTTTTTTTGTTTGTTTGTTTGTTTTTGTTCACACTGCAGTACTTTGAACAGACATCTGTCTGTACACCTGTTAATAGTTGTTGGACCTGTGACATTACTTGTATCTTACGAATCTTGATGTACAGCCTTTTGTAGCTCAATTAAAGCTTACAAAAAAACACTTTTTTTTTTTTTTTTAAACAGTTGAGTTTTTTTGACAAACTGGATTTAAAAAATAAAAAAAATAAAGCAAATGAGCAGTGTGTGCAAAACACAGCGGACACATTCTTACTTTGGAAGTTTAGATGCGATAACCTCAGAGAGCAAATCTGAAAAATAGATAAGAAAATGTTTAAGTTTAACAAAAAAAAAAAATACAAACAACAACTCTAAGCAGCATTTTCCTAGGTAGTTTTATATGTCAATGCCAACTTCTAGATGGATGTGCAGATTGATTTTTTTTTATTTATTTATTTTTTTTATTTTGCTTTTGTTGTAAAGTCAATAAAACACATTAGAAACAGAAAATCTGTCTTATAAAAAAATCTCAAAGAGTGACCAAAAAAAATCCATCCTAGACTTTTTAATGGTAAACTTCATGGGAATTTTTTTTTTATTTTAAGACATTTTGTGTTACTCCAATAAATACATCAGGCATATATACAGCTCCAATATATTTAAGGAGTGTTGGGTCACTATTGTGATGGGTTTTAAAGTGATTTGAAAGTGAGTGCTTATCAAAACCTCTTTATGACAAGCTGCCAACCAAGTGAGTTTCCTCAGAAATCTCATGATCGTAAGGGATTAGGAACGACCTTTGTTGATGTGACAGGTTGCCTGGTTGTCTGAGTAACAACGCACTGGCATATTAGCCCATAAATGACCCCATGCTACAGCAGCCGCCACGATGGGATAGATCTCAAAAAGAGCTGAGGTAGTGGAGAAACCTTCCAAATCCTGAACTGCTGAAGGCCAGCTGCCCTAAAGCCATTCGTTCCCAAAAATTGCTGCAAAACCAGTGGTAGATACTGCATCTGACCAAATGGTAGGAGATGAGTCAGTCAATTGAGGGAGGAACATAGTTTTATACTAACCCTATATCAACCATAGCCCTTAGTCAATGCTTATATTATCTCTAAATGTATAAAAACTCTTATCTTATACCTTATTAACACTAACCCTCCACAACACTAAAACTAACCCCTCCATAACCCTAACATCAACCCTAGGGGAAACCCACTTTCTAATATCAGAATTATTAGCAGAGTATTTCCTATTTAACACCGTAAACAGTGGTCTGTGACAACTATCTACTGCAGTGGTGTACATACCGGGGTCGCGGCTGCGACCGGACCCGGCCCATCAGGGGGCCCAGTCGCCCTGCGACCCGGTATGTATGCCACTGTGGCCAGCCTCTGCTCCTGGGGGGCCCAGGAGCTGGCCACCTAAAGGCCCCCCCGAGGCTGGCCGTGGTATCTTCCGGCGCTGGCATCCCTATGCGGCGTGCGAGGGAACTGAAGAGGAAGCACACAGGGGAGAGGAGCCCAGCAGCACCAGGGAATCCCCTCAGCAATCCAAAAGGTAAGGAGGCTGGGGGGATTCAATTAAAAAAAAAAAAAAAGTGTGTGTGTGTGTTAGTGAGTGTACACGTTAGTGTTAGAGTGTGTGAGCGTTAGTGTTCGAGTGAGTGTGTTAGTTTGTCTGCGTCTGTTCGTGAGTGTGTATGTATGTCTGTCACTGAGTGTTTTTCAGTAAATGTGTGTCTGTTTGTGAGTGTGTGTGTGTGTGTGTGTGTGTGTGTCTCTTAAGTAAGTGGGGAGCCACGCAACAGTTTACGGGGCCCCATGGGTTGTGTGTACGCCATTGATCTACTGCCTGTTTTCCTAATTACATTAACTGTAGTTATGAATGGAGCTTGCTTCCTAGTTGATTAGAATGTGAGTGGTACTGGGCAGCTGGAATAACACGGGTAAGATTTGTCTGGGGACAGGCAGGCAATCCTGCCAAGTTCTAATCAGACCCTGGGGGTCTCGTCAAAGTAGCCTGTTGCTCAGAAAAACTGCATTTGAGCACACTTGCTCAGCTACAGTTATATGAATGGATTTAAAGGACCCTAATCAGTGCCAGCTTCCAGCAATGCTCAGAGCATATCTGTCAGCCCCAGGCCACTAAAAGTGTTCCCAGATAAGAGGGGACTCCCAGGTATCTAGGATACCTGGTGCTCTTTTCTTGTAAGCAGGTATTTGAATAGACCTTTCAGTTATAGACCTGGCAGTGCTGAATTCCAGTGCCACAGGCAACTCATCAAAAAGTCTGCTCCAGCAGACAAAGGGGAGCCTGAGGTATTCAGTCTGTAAATCATACAGTACATCAAGTGAGAAATTCTACTTTAAGTTTAGTCAAAAGTTGTTAAGCAATAATGAAGTTTTATATTTCAGTCTCTTGTTCGGTTTTCAGCAAAGCCATGCCCCATGACCAGTTTATGATGCCTGGATTATTTAGACTGCTAATGTGCACGCACTCAACTCTGATCCAAAGCACTTTATTCTTAGGGCTCCAAAATTGTATTACTTTGTTCTAGCTGCAGGAGCAGCAGGGTTGTTCTGTAAAGGTTTCAAGTTACACAACCATAATA